CTCATTTCTTACATTTTTACCTCTCTAGGTATTTTGGTTGTCTAGAATGCATTCTCCAGTGGATATATCAGGAAGAACTAATAGGAGATATTGTTTCCCATGTTCTCAAATATTTATATGCTGTCTTTTATATATGAGGTCATTTTGCTGAATGTAAACTTGTTAAATCACATTTTGTGTCCTCTCAGGTTTCCTAAATATGTTACTCTGTTAACTTATAGAAAAGTCTTCTAACAATTTATTAATATTACTCCCTTGTAATGACCTACTCTTTTTGCCTAAAGGCCCAAATACTTTTCTAAAAAATTAACATCTAATAGTTTATTAAAATCTGGCTCAGATTCAGCCATTATGGATTAGTTTTTCCAAGAACCTCGTTGCCTTTTCAAATCTTTTATTTTAGGAATTTTTTTTGGATGATACCTCTGAGTATTTGTCAGAGGTTTGCTTCTTCAGGAATTTTTAGAACATGATTTAAAGTGTTGGCTCTTCTCTGCCTATCTTCTATAGCTATCATTCTTTTCTCTTTCATTTCTATTTTACTATAATTATTAAATTTTAAAAATAATTACAAGTTCATGTAAGAGTTTTGTTTTTTTCAGAACAATTTGAGAATAAGTAGCTGACCTGATGCCTCAATATACATTTCCTAAAAGCAAGGGTATTCTTCAAACAGCCATGGTACATCAAAATCGGAAAGTTAACATCAATACATCTAACACCAAGACCTCCACTTAAATTTCAGTATATGTCTCAACATATTTTATAGCAAAAGATCCAATTCCAAATCGCATGTTGTCATGTGTCTTTAGTCTCCTTCAGTATGGAAAAGGTCTTCAATCTTCCCTTGAGTTTCATGATTTTGAACTTTTTGAAGATTACAGACTAGTAATTTTGGAGAACGTCTTTCAAGTTGGGTTTGCCTAATGTGAGCTCAAGATTAGATTCAGGTTATGTAACTTTTGATTAAATATCATAGAAATTACACTGTATTCTTATTGAATGTTATCAGTTTGTCTCATTACTGATGAAGTCCATTTTAATTACTTGACTCAGTGAGTGTCTGCCAGTTTTCTCTACTCCAAAGTTGCTATTTTGCCCTTTGCAAATGGTAAGTATTTTGTGGGCTGGGTGCAGTGACTCATGCCTGTAATCCCAGCACTGTGGGAGGCCAATGAGAGTGTATCACAAGGTCAGGAGTTCAAGACTAGCCTGGCCAGCACGGTGAAATCCTGTCTCAACTAAAAATACAAAAACAAAACAAAAAAATTAGCTGGGCATGGTGGTGGGCACCTTTAGTCCCAGCTACTTGGGAGGCTGCGGTAGGAGAATACCTAGAACCTGGGAGCCAGAGGTTGCAGTGCTGAGATCATGCCACTGAACCCCAGCCTGTGTGACACAGTGAGACTCTGTCTCAAATAATAACAATCATAATCATAATTTGAAGAGATATTTTGAAACTATGTAAGCATCTTGTTTTTCATCAAACTGTCCATTTATCTTTGTATTTACATCCAATGGACTCATGGAGTCTCATTTTACGATTTATAAACTATTATTTATTTTGATGTTCAGATTGCTCTAGAATTGGGAAGGGGGAACAATTCAAGCTGATTTCTGGCATTTTTGTTTGTTTTTGACATACCTTCATCATTATTTGAGCATGTTCTTGCTTTCTTGCTCATTTTATACTTTAACTACTGTGGCCTCAAAAAGAGTCATTCCTCTAAAAAGCTTCTATGGGGAAAAATGGTATTAGAACGCATTATCTGAGTAATAGCTGTACTTGTGGCCATTCTGATATTATGCTCCTAAGTTCTTTCACTCCTTAAGTAGGGATACAAAAATGTATGCATTTATGTTTGTGTGTCTCTGCATATATGTACACAGTTACATCAATGTTAACCACACACACATGCACACATATACATGTACAAATATATATATATATATATATATACACATGGAAAAATATAAGTTCATTCTGATACCTTCAATTATAATTTATCCCCACAGGGTTCATTAGTTTTCTCATTTTCTACAATTGTTACTCACATCTCTGACCAGAGCAACCATCCCTCATTTATCTTTAGTTTTTTATCAATTCCTTGGTATGTAATTAATCACCCCTACCATCCCCTTTTCACTGCCAGTTCTGGCACCCTTCTC